AACTGCTTTTGGATTTAAACTAGCTCTTCAGTTTAGCAGATTTTTATAAATGCAATGCTATTTCTCAATATCTCTAAAAGAGCAGTTTCCTGTCATCTCTCACCTTACTTTAGTCACAATTTTATGCCTCTGTACAAATGATTCTCTCCACCTAAAATATATTTTATTCTTCCTCAAAGCCAATCAAAATATACCAAACTGGTGATTTACACCTTTCTCTTCATGAAATTTTGTTAAATTAATTCTATACACTCTATGGCAATCTCTCTGTATTATTTTAATATTTATAATTAAGCGGGAAGCCTGGGTGGCTCAGCAGTTGAGCGTCTGCCTTCAGCTCTGCCTTCAGCTCAGGGCGTGATCCTGGGATCCAGGATTGAGTCCTGTATCAGAGTCCTCATGGGGAGCCTGCTTCTCCCTCTGCCTACGTCACTGCCTCTCTGTCTCTCTCATGAAAAAATAAAATCTTTAAAAAATGTTTTATTTAAGCAATACTATCACAGAATAGTGTATACACTTTTTTTACTTAACAAATTTACCAATGTGTCAGGCACTGTTCCAAATAAATATGAACTGATTTCTCATAACAGTCTTAAGAAGTATGACTATTGGGATGCCTGGGCGGCTCAGCGGTTGAGCATCTATCTGCCTTTGGCTCACGGTGTGATCCTAGGATCCGGGATCGAGTCCCACATCGGGCTCTCTCTGCAAGGAGCCTGCTTCCCCCTCTCTCTATGTCTTTGCCTCTCTGTTTCTCATTAATAAATAAATAAATCTCTTAAAAAAAAAAAGATTATCAGGATGCCTGGGTGGCTCAAGCAGTTGACTGTCTGCCTTTGGCTCAGGTTGTGATCCTGGAGTTTCAGGATCGAGTCCCACATCCAGCTCTCACATGGGGCCTGCTTCTCCTCCCTCTACCTATGTCTCTGCCTCACTCTGTCTCTCTCAATAATAAATAAATAAATAAATAAATAATAAATAAATAAATAAAATCTTAAAACAAAAAAACTATATATATCTGTATTTTCCTAGTTGAAGTGCAGAGAGGTTACACATTTACAGTTAGGAAGTGGCAGAGCCTGGACTCAAATTCCAGAAGTCTGGCTCCGGAACAGGTGCTCTTAACTATTACACTATGCTTCCTTAAATTGCTCTAGTAGTACTTTCTTAACAATGCCCCAAGCACAAGGTATGATCTCTCAAAATACCATTTAAGCTCTTTAAGGGATGCATGTCTTCAACGTTTTATATCCTTCAATAGCTTTTTCTACAGATTTTAAGTGTTTAGCAGGTTTTTAGTGAATGCTTACTGAACTGAAACATGAAAGGACAATTACTCAAGTCCAGCTGACAGTGAAAATATTTTCAGACAAACTAAGTCAAAATAAAGTGCTCCAGTCTTTCTCTGTAATACTTAAAAAAAAAAATACCATGGATAACTGTGATATAATAAAAATAAGACAAAATCAGAGAGGGAGAAAAACTATAAGAGACTTTTAACCATACAAAACAAACTGAGGGCTGCTGGAGGGGTGGGGGTGGGCAGATGAGGTAACTGGGTGATGAGCATTAAGGAGGGTACATGATGTAATGAGCAATGGGTATTATATACAACTGATGAATCACTGAACTCTACTTCTGAAATTAATAATACACTATATATTAATTGAATTCAAATAAAATAAAAATTAAAAAAATAATAGTCTTGGAGTAAGCTAAAGCATTTCACTGTGCATATATACAAAGCCATAAAACACAACTGTGACACAAAACTGTATCTGTGAAAAAAAAAAACTGTATCTGTGAAATTTCACTGTAACCTATGCTTATGAAACTAAACTCTTAAGTTACACCTGATTTAAAAATTACTTATAGATGTAAAAGCTTCTAAAATATAATTTCTCCAATTTTCTTAGAGTTCAAATATCATAATACATGAATCTAAAATTTTTTTAAAAGATTTATTTTTATTTATTTATGGTAGACACACACACACAGAGAGAGAGAGAGAGAGAGAGAGAGAGAGAGGCAGAGACACAGGCAGAGGGAGAAGCAGGCTCCATGCCGGGAGCCCAACGCAGGACTCGATCCCAGGACTCCAGGATTGCGCCCTGGGCCAAAGGCAGGCGCGAAACCGCTGAGCCACCCAGGGATCCCCTGAATCTAAAAATTAAAGCAATGTTATAAGTGCAAGGAAATTCTAAACTAGCTCTAAAAGTAAGACAGCTGAAACTACTGTGATTTAAGACAACTAAAAGCAGATTATAAATAGGGCTCAAAGTCAGCTCACCACTTCAATAGAAATGAGGAAAAGACTGAAACGGAATGAAAAAAGATACATTAAACAAAAGATTGAGTGGAATGAAATATATGAACCATTTGCAAGTGTGGAGGAAAAGAATCTAGGTCCATTTTTTTCTGTGGAATAATAAAAAATAAAGACAAACTGCTGTTTGTCAACTTTAAGATGCAGTGATTGTAAATACCACCATTACTTTATATACCACTAAAAAAAAAAGTATAAAATCTTGTGTTAATTAAGATATGCTATTAATTGTTAGACATATCCAGATTTAGGAGCTGTTAAAAACAGAACAAAAAACCCTGGATTTTAAAGTCAATAAAACACTTGTATTCCTGAGCTTATGATAAGGGTTACATCCCAATAAACCCAATAACCCTATGAAAAAAGCACTTGATACACCTAACATTCTGAACATCATACTTTACCTGGCCTACCCTACATGCGCTCAAAACACATTAGACTGCAGTTGCTCAAAATCATCTAATGCAAGCCTATGCTATTAATAAAGTGTCGAGTATCTTTTAATTTATTGAATACTCTACTGAAAGTGAAAAACAAAATGGTTGTTCAACCTTGTGATCATCTGGATGAATGGAGCTACAGCTTACTGCCATTGCCCAGCATCACTCAAGAGTATCATACTGCATCTCCCTAGCCCAAGAAAAGATCAAAATTCAAAATTCTAAGTATGGTTTCTACTTGCTTTTGCACCATCATAAAGGTGAAAGTTCCTAAACTGAACCATCTTATAAGTCAGGGACCACGCATATTAAGAGACTAAGACAAATCAGGTATGAGGAAATTTAATTCAATTTGAGGAAGTTATTAATAAACTAACTGGAATCGGAGGCTGTGCTAAAATTTCAGAATATAAATACAAATTTAACCATATTCCTTCCCCACACAATGCTCATAATCAAGAAATTAATACTAAAAACACTATAGTAATAAATATCAAGTCACTGAAAGAGTCATGTCTCTAAATCTAGTGATTCCAGTTGCTATAATAAATGAAAAGGAACAAACCTTTATGCAAACTGGCCACTGCAATGAAAAATAGCAAAATTTAAAATCTGGAAGCCTAACCACCCAGTTTTAATACAACTTGCTAAATGGAAAACAATGTAATAACTAAAACTATAATCAAAATACTACGGAGCAATATGGTGAAATACGACTAAGTGAAAAAAAATATGTATACATTATTACTGGAACTGAATAAAAATTAGAGAACATTGGGAGAAGATATAAAAGAAAACTAATAAGATGTCTGACATGTTCAAAATCTATGTTTTTGATCACAGACTGTATATTAAATAATACTGCATCATTACTGAATTTCCTGATTTTGATATCTGTACTGTTGCTATTTAAGAGAATGTTCTTATTCTTAGGGAATAAAGTACTTAGGTAAAAAGAGTCCAATATCTCCAACTTAATCTCACAGGGCTCAAAATGAATAAATACCAATAAATACCCAAAATAAATAGATTAAGGAAGCGAAGCAAAATGCGAACAGCTGGTAATATCAGTAAAGCGTATTTGAAAGTTCCTTTTACTGTTCCTCCAACTATTCTCTAAGTTGAAATTTAAGGAAAAAAGTCACCAAAACAGTTAAGTAGACTTATGACCAAAAATGGAAAAAACACTATCACAAAAGCAATTTAAAATGTAAAAACTGTAAATGCTTTGTCTTTGTTACTAAGCATTAAGTAGTTTTAATAGCATAAACTGAGAAAAAGTGCTGAAGTTTTCTGGCAGTGATAAAATGTGTAGGGAGGACTAGCGATAATATGTGAGCATTAAAGATGCCAATGAGATTTAATTATTAGCATGTGTGCGAGTACCCATATTAAGTACACATATTAAGACTATGGATGCAACTGATGAAGAAACTATCAACATGAAGAATAAAAGCCTGCTGAAAGCTACCTTAAAACAACAAAAATCTTGAACAAAGCTTGTGCATACTCAAGAATGAAGAGTACTAGAAATGAAGGTGCTAAAGTACCACTGTGATAAAGATCCAATGAAAATTATTAAATACACTTTAGCATACATATTTAAGCTTTTAGTGCTTAATACCACCAGGTAAATTAGTATCTACTGAAATACTGCTATTTAGTCAGAATACCACAATTCAAACTTCAGAAACTTTTCTACATGTCTTTAGGCAAAATACCACCATCCACAAAGAAGATTTTCCTAGAACTGTTAGTAAATTTCCAATATTACAAATTACTAGGTTTGACTATATTAATATCCTTGAATGAGACAGGTATATCAAATTAATTTTGCAAAACTGACAGCTCAAGAAGGCAAAAAGAGATAAACGGGACACTTAAAAACAACAACAAAAGAGCAAAATCACTCTCTTCCTAGGTTTCTATAAGGAAAATAAACATAATCACCTGGAAGGATTATACTGAAGAATATGAATTCAAACATCTACACTAAATAAGGCACAAGGAAAAAAAAAAGGCAATTTATAATGAAAATAATTCACCCTCACAAAGTATTCAGAAAATTAAAGAGCTGCTAATTATATTTACTGAATGACTTAAAGTATCCTAAGTTCTCAAAGTTAAATTCATCATCTTTAAAAAATACATATTTTATTTTATTTTTAAATACATATTTTAAAAGGCAAAAACAAGTATCTTCATAAACATTACTTACTATAAGTTAAACTTACCTTTTTATCTTCTTTTACTTTGTGAGTTTTCTTCTTCATTTTCTTATCATCTAATTCCTGGTCTGAAGTGATTGCAGGATTATCAATACCACCTTTCCAAGTTTCAACAGGAGAAAGAAGTGGATCTTCTTCACTTCCACGATGTCTTCCTTTTCTTTTTGTTTTAGAAGTGGTAAAAGCCTCATCATCACTTGCATCTGAATGTGTTCTTCTATAGTAAGATTTGGCTTTACTAAACAGGGTTTTAGATTTATATTTGTATTTTGAAGGCCTTCTTTCTCCATGACTTTTTGACGTTCTATCAGAAAATCCATTTTCTTCATCTCCTTGGGTGTTATTTACAAATGAGTTTCGAATTTTAATAGAGCGAGTCTGACTATCATCTGGGACAGCATATATCTCATCAGGATAGCTCTTCTGTTTGAAAATTGTGTCAATGGGTTCCGCATAGTTATCTGAAGGATCCATATCTTCAGGATGTGCCAAAGGAACCCGGGAAGTTTGTTTTCTTGGATTTTTACCAATACCAGCTTCAATTGTTTTTAAAAGGTTTGGATCCAGTTTTTTCACATTTGTCTTAGGTACAACTGGTTTAGGTTTAATAGGTGGAGGCACTTTATGGTTGCGTTCATGATCATGACAGTTTGGGGTGCTATGAATAGGATACTCATTTCCTTCTAAATCTAATCTATATCTGGAACGGTCACTAGGTGTTGGAAGCAACTGTACATCATCTCCAATTGGACTGTAAGGAGGTGGTGCTTCTGTATCATCATCTGAATCGGGGTAGTTGTTATATGGAAAACAGTCTCTGGGAGATGGTAGAAAAACATCCTCACTTTGATGGGTTGATTCCCTTGTATTATCAGATAAATAGGAATTTTCTATCATATTTTTTTTCTCTAGAACATCACTGAAAAACAATGTAAAGACCTCAGTTTGCCGATGATACTGAGATAAAGAATACAGTGCTGTAAATTTAGCAGTGATCTCAGTTGCGATATGTTCTCCTTCAGTCATTAATTCCTTGATAGCCTCATTTTCAAAAAAATCTGCTTGGCTGTCAGTAACTGCCACCAGCTGTACAGGAATGGTGTCCTGAACTTCTGATAGAAATGCTCGAAGCATTCCCATTGACGCTTTCCGTTTGGCAGAATAAACTAATATATATCCATGAACCAGTTCATCTTTCCTTACTCCAATTGAGGAATGGTAGGATAGTATGGTGATCTGTATTCGCCTCCTTTTTTCACCAATGATTTTATCAAGCATTAGAGAATTATTCTGTCCAGCTTGAGCAGCACTACAAGAATGAGAATCAAGGAAGGGTGAAAGAATAAGATCCACACTAAAAGGATCACCACACATGGCACACATGACAATTCTCAAGTCAGCTTCTGATATATCCTTACTGGTGGGAACTGGGCTCACCACATCTAAATTATGCTTAACTGATTCTAATACTCCTCTGAGAGCCTGCTTTATTTGGGTTTCATTAAATTTACGAGGATACGTACCAGGAGGTACATCTACAAAAGGGCATTGTAACTTGTTTGCCAACTGTTGCCCTTGGTGCCTGAGAATTGGTAGATTCTTACTCATAGAATCTCTCTGATTAGCCAGAATTAAAGTAAATGGAAGATTAGCCATGTACTTATCTTTTCTGATCTGAGAAGCTTCAGTTCTTATTTTTCCAATAAATTCCCCAATAAAATTCAGTGACTCAATGGAATTAAATACACAGAAGCACCCATGTGGTTTAAAGGCGGTAGTCCACAACTGACTTAAGAAGTAAGGCGACTTGGCATCAACTGGCCGAAGATCAAGTTCATAAATTTTTCCATCTAAGGCATACTCATCATCAGTGGATTGTGTTCTTATCTCATTTGCTAGTTCTTGGGCAAGGCCATCCTTCCCTAAAATGAAAAGGTTAACTTTATCTATATTGGTACTATCATGATACAATCGTAAGCGGCCATGATCCAACTGCAAAAGACTACTAGCAAGTAACTGCTCTACTTTAATGTCTGTACAATTTTGGCCACTAAGACAGGTTTCTTTAGTGGGATGATAAACAAACCCTATGTGCTTAAGGAGAAGAGATTCCCTATCAGGTGCAAGTTTCTGTAAAGCTTTATATCTAGGTTCTTCACTCAAAACTGTATGAATTTCACTCATTTTATCTGAACTAGGTGTTGCATTAAGATCTAAATCATAAAAAAGTTCGGAGTGCTCAAAAAGCATTTCCTGAAACTCTTCTTTGGCTTTTTCAACTATTTCTCGCTGATGCCTACCATACACCTCTTTGCTATCAGCCTCAGTGATATATTTGAAGGCTTCATCCTCCATAACAAAGCACATAACTTCTTCCCATGGCTGCCCAGGTGAAATGAACTGAATTTTTTCCAAAGTCTTTTTGAATTTTTCCTTCATTTCTACCCTTCTCTTCTCTGATATGAGATGCTGTACGTGGTTCTGATAAACTTTTTCAGCTTCTAAAGTGCTCAGGAGGTCAAATGGGATTCGTCTATCATTAATTTTATCTATATGGTCAGTTTCATCCCACGGTGTTTTTTCTAGCACCACAAAACATAACTGAAAATCTGCTCTCTTTTCCATTAACTTCAAAGCTTCTGACCAATTTAAATGTTCAATCTCTTCTAGGTTTGGCAAAAGAGTGTTGAAAGCTCTTGGTAAAGTATTTATATATTCTTCTCTCCTTTTTCTTATATGTTCCTGTTTAAGTTGTTCTATATGCTTTGAAAACGCATTTCTGGCCTTTCTTGTTCCCTCTAAGTTGATGTATTCTTCATAATCAGGATGATTTTTTAATTTATTACTAACAGTTTTCCAAGTTGCATGATAATCTCTCACAGTCTGCACAAGTTTTTCAAACTTATCTGTTGCTGTGACAACAAGTTGTCGCTGTGTTTTATAAGCATCCAGATAGGGAATAATTTTAGGCTTGCCACGAGTTTTATCCAACATTTGTACCAGTGCAGTGAAACATGTCTCAATGTTGACATTAAATCGTGCTGATGTTTCCACTACAAGAAGGTTCTTTTTGTTTGAAGCAAATGCCTGAACTTCTCTAAGATAATGATCCACGCATTCATCACATTTAGTTGCTGCTATTATTACAGGTTTTTTTGATTTTGATAGTTGGACAAAAAGATTATTCACAAATTTAAGTTGATCATCAAACTTCCTATTACATCCCTGACTCACATCAATGCACAGTAAAAATCCATCCACATTGAGCTTCCCTTCAGGCATTTGCTTCTGTTCAAAGTCTTGCTCCAAGCCCAGTTGATCAGTGCAAATGTACATTAATTTTTCTGCTGACTGCAGTTTAGAGGCAGCTGCACGTTTTATATATGGTTGTAAATTCGTACTCCGATGAGGCAAGAAAGTCTGGTCATCAATGAACTCCGTTTGTTCAATGACATGAATTTTGCATTCTACTCCATCTTCACCATTTTGTGTTATGTCGCCCCAGTACAGAAAGTGATCATTGTTTACTACTCGTCCTCCAAAGTCAATGGTGCTAAGCACAGAAGTATGCTCTGGGTAATATTCATCTGCTTTTGAGCGTACAAATCTATTGCACAAACAAGACTTTCCAACTCCACAGTTACCTTTGTCTTTTTCAGTCCCAGAGAGTCCAACTACACTGATAGTATAGGATGGGGGGCGAGGCTCTTTGTTTTTTGCCATCATAACTCTCTTTTCATGTCTCTACATTCATAAAGATAACCAGATATACTTCTCATTCTGAAAATAGAATCATCTCAAAATACAGATCCCAAAGTTCAGAACTATATTTGGTTCTTTGTATTTCCCTCATTTCTGTGCAGAAAGGTCTTCAAGATCATATGGATCATCTTCCTAGAAAGAGGGGAAAAGAAAGGACAAAACTTAATCACGAACTACACATTAAATTACATACACACTAAAGATGTTTATAACAAAAGACTATGGACATTAACAACAAATGTTACATGTATTTTAGGAAACCACCATAAAAACTGTTTGATTTACTGTTATAAATACAAGATGACCTCAAAATTTAAGACAAATCCAACAATTAAAATAACTACACGCAAAATTTAAGGCAACATTTCACAAAACTTAAAATAAACTCCTATTAACCAAGTGTGCATTTTGTCTCTACTCCTTCCTGTAAGTTTGAAGAAATAACTGGTCTTTTCTCCCCCTCAATTTTCCTGCCTCCTGTGACTACAGACTATGCTTGCTGATAATTAAATGTAGTAGTTGCCTTAACAACTCCCTCACAACTCTCAAAAACAACCTTTTTTTCTATTACATTGTTCCTCAAAACTTGTTCCCTAAAGTAGAATTTCATATAAATTTAGCAAGAGTTTAGAATTAAATAAAATTTTTCAGAAAGTTTCAACACACTCCTATGAAATCTGTCGAATTCTATGCCCCCCCTACAATTTATAATATACAAATACTTCAAAAGGAAAACAAAAATGGGCAGTTAATACAAATACTGAGTATTTAACTAGATCAATGTTCTCAAACTATCAAGGTGAAGGATCAATTTTTATTTCGTATCTGAGGGTCCCAATTTTGCAAAATCCAATAAATGAATTTAAAAAAAATCCAAACCCCAATTATTAGATTCAATAGACATAAAACTACTGTCAGACTATTTTTAAATGTTCTTGATTTCTATATTCATTTCTTCTCAGAGTAGTTACAAAAAGCTAATGGACCACATTTTGAGTTGCACGAAGCTGAATAATTTTGAGAATGTATATTTGAGACAATCTTTTAGAATTATTTGATAAACCAGGCAACATGAAATAACCTTGAAGAATTCCATGTAATTTAATTTAGGTTATTTATGTGGGAAGAATGAAACACTCATTTATAGAAATTTTATTTATAGATTCTTCACATTCTTTTGAGGTTGAATTAAAAGCAATATATCATTTCTACCACATCAGTTACACAACACAGGGAAAATATTCAGTCATGTACATCAATATATGTGAAAATTATCTTCAATCCAGACAAAATAAAGAACATAGAAAAAAAAAAAACTTAGAGGTACCATAAGAAAAGAACCATCATTTGTCCCAAATATGTCTTCTACCCTGACCTGAATTGCAAGTAAACAGCTATTCAATATATACTGTACATTAACTATATTAACAACTAATGGACGGAGAAAGTTATTATAATTTAAAATTACGACTAATATTTCTGGTAAAGTAATATTAAAAAACTAAAATCTCAGATTTACTTTTATATTTCTGAAATTTATTATATTAGCCTCAACTAAAAATATTATCTGCCATATGATATTCAAATAATGCATTTACTAGATTCATTTTCACAAAAAATAAAATAATCCTATGTTGAAGGAACGACATAGGAAGTAGAAAACCATGAATAAATACAATGGATTTCAAACCTCTTATTTATGAGTTTAGGACAACAGTTTTTGTGTCATGGTTTCTCCATCTATAAAATGGGGCTGCATATCTACACAAATTTAAGAAATCACTTTTTTTAATGTTAAGTACCTACCAAAAAGAGTTTAATTAAGTATTCTGTATTAATTTGATTCCTGGAAACAGTGAAGCTGTCAAAGACGTTTTTTTAAATGACGTGATCAGACTTGTGATTAAAAAATATTTATCTGACAGAAATATATAGAATAATTAGAAGTAAAAGAAATTAGGGCAGCCCCATCTAATCCTATTACCTCTTTTCCATTAGTAAAACTTCTTTAAAAATCTTTATCTGAGAACACGAGAGACCCCTAACTCTGGGAAACCAACAAGGGGTAGTGGAAAGGGAGGTGGGTGGGGGGATGGGGTGACTGGGTGACAGGCCCTGAGGAGGACACTTGACGGGATGAGCACTGGGTGATATGCTATATGTTGGCAAGTTGAACTCCAATAAAAAAAAGAAAAGAAAAGAAAAAAAAAATCTTAATCTGGTTAAATTGGGTATTTGCACCTAGCACCACATTTAGCCTTCTCTACCTAAACTGTGTAAAAGAGTATTTGTAGGTACTGATAAGAAAAAAAAATGAATGAGGTAACAAAGTTATACACGGTCATAAAAAGGCAGAACAAAATTAGTTGTGAAAACAGCACAATGCTTCTGTAACAATTAAAAAAACTGAAAACACATAGTAAAATAACAAGGTCTACCCTTCCTTTTTACTAGAAAAACAGAAAACTGCAGACAATACCCTTTAAAATGTACATCAAAAGAAAAACATACCTAGTGATTACTTTGGGGAATTTTTATGCTAAACAGTATAAATAAACACTAGCACTACACATGGCTCTTTATTAAACAAACACCTATTCTGAAAACGAAGAGCAATTCAAAGACATGTAAGACTGTCCCCTGCCTTCCAGTTTGACACAAAGTTAACAGAAAGGTAACTGTACAAAGTCATATGAACCTGAATATTATAAAAAATTCTCAACTACAAACCTAATCTCTTAACAGGCACTTCTTTATTCATTTCTCATATATGCTTATTCCAAACTCATTAAAAGACACATTTCCGCTCTCCTACAGCATATACCTCAGAATATGGAGACATCTTTCTGTTTAAGTTACAAGGTGTAAGCAGAAATGAAAATACTCTTATCACACAAAGTATTTTTAAAATTTCATAGAGGCTTAAAATTAAGTGAGTTATCACCTTTTGTCATTTTTTAACAAGAAATATTTTTTTAAAGATTTTATTTATTCATAAGAGACACAGAGAGAAAGGCAGAGACATAGACAGAGGAAGAAACTGGGGGAGCCTAATGCTGGACTTGATCCCAGCACCCTGGGATCATTCCCTGAGCCAAAGCAGATGTTCAACCACTAAGCTACCAAGGCATCCGGAGAAATTTTAACACTGAGGTTTCAACACACATCCTAATAAATTTTATAGTGGCAGACTCCAAATCACGAATATTCAAGTTTAAATTAAAAATGAGGTAGCTTTGTGTGACATTTATACTTTTTACACCAAATTCACAGTAAATTACCAATTAGACACTGAGGCACATCCATGTCCTTCTTTCAGGAAGGCTACTTGCTGATTATTTAGAAGTCAGCTCCAGAGATCATGCTCACTACAAAGTGAGTTTCAAATGGTGATGGAAAATTCTCTCACCTACAGGTGGTAAAGAATAATACTGGACAAATATTTGCTCTCTCCCTCAAGCTCAATCATCAAATCAGTACAGTCTTTATCTGATTTATAAGTTTACATAAAAGATCTGAAAAAGTTTTCTAATTTTTTAAAATGTTCTCAGATTTTAAAAAGTTTGAGAAACCAATAGACTAGAAAAAAAAAAAACTGTCATCACCTGTCCTCAAAAACATTTTGCTCTGTTTGGGTGAGTATGGTATTACCACTTCATAGTTTTCTCCCGTGAGTTTGGCTGACAGGTCATAAGGGAACTTAATTTAAGCCACCTGGACATACATGAATTATCCACTGCCCTCAACGTCTAGGTCAAAATTACTGTCCATTAACTAAGAAAAGTTAGTTCTTCTGTGCTGATAAAAAGAATCCCCTCTTTTTTTGTGTGTGCTCTGAGTAATAAACTAATGGCGATTATCTATATGCAGGCTATTAGATTTAATCTGAAAATTCCTTTCAAGTATGTTTAATGATAATTTTTTAAAAGATGTTATTTATTTATTCATGAGAGAGAGAGAGAGAGGCAGAGACACAGCAGGCCCCATGCAGGGAGCGTGATATGGGACTGGATCCTAGGACTCCAGGATCACACCCTGGGCTGAAGGCAGGTGCTAAATAGCTGAGCCACCCAAGTGTCCCTAATGATAATATTTGATTACGTTGATTTAACATTTTTCTGATTTTTGTTATGACTTTACTTCCATATAACCTGTTCTCATTTTCTCTTATTTTTACTCATGAAAAAACCAAAACAAAAGTAGCAATGACCTACTCAAAGCTATCCAGTTAAAAGGAATCTCTGAATGACCAATCTTTATTTAAGCAATAGTACTGCTTTTCAACAGTTTGCAATGCAGTTTCTTTCTCATTCACCTCTAAGTTTATCTTATAACCATTCAAAGGGAATGGTTAAAGTACCTCCCCAGACAGTAACAACAATGTATACATGTGTGTATATATATGTACATTATATATATACATTATATATACACATTATATATATACATATATATCTTATTAGAGTAGAACTACAGTTGATGAGAAAGTTGTAGGGAGTCAGCAACTATTTGCCCAATATTCTTCTTGAGCGATCCCTAAAATTACCCTAAAAATGAAGCCATCTATATGATTAAGTTTTCTAAGATATCAGACTACGCCATTCAAATACGTTTTTTAAGAATGTATTTATTTGAGAAAGAAGGAGAGAGATAGAGAGACAGCATGAACAGGGGTAGGGGCAGGAGGAGAGGGAGAAGCAGACTCCTCAATGAATATGAAGCCCAACACGAGGCTCCATCCTAGGACCCAGGACATGACCTGAACTGGAGGCAGATGCTTAACTGACTGAGCCATCAAGGACCCCCATAACATGCTCCCTTTACAGAAGTTCTAATAACATGAAGCAGCTTTCTGCAAAAAAAAAAGTCTTAAGTTCTACAAGGAACCTAAGGAAACTGAAAAAAATAATTTCTTAGTAATTCTGGACTTGTATCAAAATTTGTTTTGTACTTTCTCAAAAAACTTGCATTCATAAGTAAAAGATATAGAGGCACCTAGGTGGCTCAGTTAGCTGAGTGTCTGCCTTGGGCTCAAGTCAGGATCTCAGGGTCCTGGGATGGGGCCTGCTGCAGACTCTCCGCTCAGCAGGGAGTCTGCTTCTTCCTCTCCCTCTGCATTAGTATGCACACCC